GGGAAGATTTCTGAAATGATTATGTTGCCTGGTAATTCTGCATTCTATTTCATTCCCTAGTGATTAGTTTCTGGAAAAACAGAATTCCACCAAAGAACAGACAACAGAAAGGAAAAAAAAATTTCCTACAGGTTATTGGGCAACAGCACTCCATGTGTCTGTACCTAGTTTTTTTTTCATCCCAGGTTCTTATTCCCATGATTTTTATCATCAAAAGATCACTAAGGCTTGTCTTACCAGGTGAGTAAAAGTCAAAACCAGGAATATTGAGTTACTTTTACTTCCTTATTACACCAAATGATCTAACATGTCTGTTTGATCACATATGTTTTATGGTGAACCAATAAATGCCAATTTGAAATTTTAATGGCAGTACAAAGGACAGGAAATGCTTAAGATTCACAGATATAGAAATGTTTCGATTCCTACTTCTATCATCCCAGTCATATCCTACAACTAAAATAAAATCTACATCTCGCTGGGATGCAAACAAACTGTCAATTTCCAACTGTTTCATTCTGAAGATTGAGCTATCATGACTATTCCCCCTTAAGAGAGTCAACCTATCTTGCATTGTCAATCTAGCTAAAAAACTGAGAAATGTTTACATCTAGTCCATTTCTAAGTTTACATTAAATCTCAAGAAAATTCTGCCGCAAAGAGAAATAGCAAGGTAGTAAAGGTAGATTGCACTGACAATTATGAGAAATACAAGGTTCAAATGGTCCAAAAACACAGGAATTTGCTGAGAATTGGGCCAAAATCAATTTACAATTGGAATCAAGCCTCAGTCTCCCTTGCCTTTATGTCCTGGCCACTAGAACACCACCTTTAGTGCAAAAAAATTGAGAGGATGGAAGATAAATACTTGACAAAATAACGCCACTTAGATTGCGTTCAGTACCATATCAAGGCACGTTTACTGCAAAAGAAAGGTGGGCACAGAGTGGGGCAAAGTAAGTAAACCAGTCACAAGATGTTTCTAGTAGGCATTTCAGCTGGTCCTCTACCCTGTTCACTCTATTCACATAGGTTAATCACGTTATACTCTTATCACATTATCTGTTGGTCCAAAAACACACACACACACACACAAAACAAAAAAATTAAAGATGCCACCAAGTATGGCTTATCAGATGTTAAAATCAAACTATCTACAAAACAAGAGAAATAACTTACCTCAGACAGAGAAATTCAGAACCCTACCTTAGAACTTTATTATTATCCCTTAAAACCTAAACTAGCTTCTATATTCAAGTTTGAGGCAACTGTCATGCTTAATATGCTATTTCCTGTCTTTGAAGAATTCTGAAGACAATGTCACTAGATGGCAGCAATGAGTTGGCAATTTTTAAAAAGATGACTAAATCTTCAAGTCCAAAAATTTTCTATTTCACACTGTCTTTCACAATTTCTTGTCAACCGTTTCTCAGTACCTTTTGGATACAATTTCTTGTCAACCGTTTCTCAGTACCTTTTGGATACTATAATTTCTGTCTACTTAGAGCATCATCATCTGGTCTGTTTTTTCCTTTAACACACTGAAGAGCTCCTATTTTGCCCTTGTCCCTTTTGGTTCGAAATCTTTCCCACACTACTTTATTACTCTACCTGGCCCAGTCTTTGTTCTCTCCTATAGATCTCTTCTTTGCATTTATCGACTATTTCCTTCTAGACTCTTCACAGTGGCCGACAATGAAGTGCCCATGTGTCTACAAAACAGGGTACTTCAATTTGCTACATCAAAACACAGACATGATCTCAAGATAAAAACTATCATGTAAAGACTATTAGGCATGAGAAAATAGCACATGGTAGTATTTTTAGGACATTTTCAGGCCACAAGTAAACAAAATTGGCCATTCTAGATAAACTATGCTAATTCTAAGACTTAAAACTAAGACAATACTCATTATAAATAGGGCCCAAATTCAATAATAAATGGTAGTACATCTAAAAACAAAAATTGGGGACCAATCTCACACTATACACCAAAATTATAGATGGATCAAAATTTAAGTGTAAAAAATTACATATGCAATTGTCAAAACCTAAGACAAAGCTCAGCAGTCCCCAAAAATATGAACAGAAACATGAAAACAGGATATTGAAATTCAAAGATACCACTTTTTAAAACTGTTAGATTGGTAAAGATTACATCAGTAATAACTGATTCAGACAAATGCCAATGTAAGCTAAAAACACTGAGGGAAAGCTTGTTGGGTAGGAAACAAATTATATAGTCTTCAAATCTTACCCAACAGGTTACTCTATGATTATAAAGAGGAAAATGCACCTTTACAATAGACATGAAGTCTTCACTTAAACCAAGTAATCTAACATTATGTGTCTCCTGACTTGACAAAATAACATACGTCACCTATGCAATATTCCTGGTAAATTATTTGCCTGGAATATACAGAGGAAAACAATCACACTTCGAATTTGTGGGGGACACTATACAACTGGCTGAAATGCCTCAAAAATAAAACTAGGGGGTCCTTTCTAGATTAAGAAAGCAGTGTTTGAAATTATGACTGGATAAGAGACATTGTGACTAGAGAATTTTAATGAGACTATACGAGATAATACTGAGTTGTTAATTTTCATTGTTTTCTTAAGTATTTTGATAACATTAGCTTTATTCTTAAGAGGATGCAACCATGCTGAAGTTATTATTCTTAAGAATCATGCCTCTAACTTTAAATTCATTCAGGAGGGGAAAAAAGCATATATGGACAAAATGTAATAATCTAGACAGTTGCTACCAGAATGGGGAGATTGAAGCAGACATGGTACATGTACATATATTTTCTACATGTACATTATTACCGGTTCGAAGTTTTTTTTAAAGATTCTATTATAGCAAATTGAAAAATGATATATATGTCAAGTCATACAATGTAACAAGTTTCCATAAAAAGCAAAATGACATTGTTTTTGTCAAATTTGGTTAATAAAAAAATGACAATCTCACTGGGGAACTTCCACTGCTCTAAGTATATCACTAAGCTTCTGGAGGTTCATTTGAAAATTCCTTAAGTGCCAAGCAATGGGTAGTTCTACATATTTGTATTAATTATGCAACTGACAATGTTAAATTTCAAGTCACCCATGTTTAGAACTGAAAGAGAAACTTTGACCATCCATAAGTTTTGTAAACCCATGACAAGAAATATTAGAAAGCCATTTAAAAACATGTTGTAGAAAGCTAAGTGGAAAATGTCTATAATAAGAAGCTCTAAAACTATATAGTAATGACTCCTTGTTGATGAAATATAAATATTATAAAATATATTATAAAAATATTAAAATATATATAAAACCGATAGCCATGAGACGAAGAACAAATCAAAACATCAAATATTAATAGTAATTATCTTTGAGGGCTGATGCTGTAATATTTTATCTGTATATTTCCTATGTTTTCTTCAATAAGCATTTTATAATAAAAAAATTTCTGTCCAAGTATAAATGGGTAACGTAATGCCAACAAAAATGAAGTTTCTAAATGAAGGTCTTTAAGAAAACACTCCCAGGATCTCAATGATGGAAAAAACAATCATGTAGCTTAATGCCCCCCCCAATTTCTTCAAAGAACGTTAAAATTCCTCTACATCATGGTTGTTCACTCACCAATGATCATGACTCTAGAATTCACAACCTGAAGATACTCAATTCTAAAACTTAATTGGCTCTTTAAGTAATTCCTTCCCTTAGCTCTTCTCTTCAATTATTCATTAGCAATCAGATCATTTTTTCTGTGATTTAAAACATTTTATTTAAATTTTTCACTATCCTGACCATCTTTTATGAAAAAAAGAAATTGTGCCTTACAGCAAATACAACTTAATCTGTCAATGTCCATCTGAACACAGCAGTCCAAATATGGTTGCTCCTGCAAGACTGGAACACACTTTGCATGCTACCCAGACACTACTGTTTCTGCTAACTTTGGCACTGTCAACACACGCAGAATTCACTGTTACTAAAATCCCCAAATTCTTATTCATTCATTAATATAATGCTAACTTCTTCTATTTGAACTACATCGAGCATTAGGCTTTACATTTCATATACTATTTCATCCTCTTATACTTAGTTCCAGCCTGAAGAAAATTTCAGACTTTGATTTTGTTGTGAAATGTTAACACTCACTCCCAATTATATATCCATCATTGATCTGTTCAACATATCCTGAGGAGTCTCTACAAGTCAACACAATTTTCCTTCAAAAGCATAAGACTTTTACAGGTTATATTTCACTTTTGGAACAATAATTAGTATTGTCAATCTCAACTAAGAAGCCTTTCTGCCTATTTTCTGTACACTGAAAAGATCTACCCTGGTGTAGTTTTGAGCAGGGCCCAGGTTAATATTTAAAAAACTGTAAATCAAAAGTTTAGGTAAAGCCTATTAAAAAAAATTAAACTGAAAAGGTAGATACAAAAATACCTATCCCCACCTATTCAAGCCATGTCCACCATGACCAAATTTCATTTAAAATAGTAACTAACCTTGAGACGAGAAGTTCCTAAACAGAACATAATACAAAATATTCCCATTAAATATACCCTTAAGAACTGGTGAATGTCTGCAACACGTTTGTCCACAATTTAAGTCCTTATTACTGTATATAAAAATGAAAATAGATAAATACACCTTAATAGTTAAGGGCTCACAGGCTTTGGGGTCAGATAGACCTGTTTCAATTTCATGTATGCACTTCCCTTCAGGAAGCCAATCCCATCAAAAACCAGTTTCAACTACAAAATGAGTTTCATTAATAGTATCTGTCTCATGGGTAGGTATGAGGCCTAAATGAAGGAAGGTTAAAAAAAACAATGACGTTGTGCCTGGCACATTCAAGTGTTGCCGCTATAGCTGCAGCTACTACAACATCATTTACTATTATTGGTACATACAACAAAAACTGGGCCGAACAAAACCAGGTGATTAATAATATTAAAGGTTTATAGAAATTTAAAAAATTCAATATCTTGTCCATCCTAATCCCTGCCAGTCAGACTGTAGATTGCCAGGTTTCACTTGTGGACCAGAGCACCTTAGAAGCCTCGCCCAGAACAGTGACCACAGGTTCAGTAGGCTCATGCTAGGCACTTCTAGACATGGTGGTGGGGGGAGGAGGGGTGATAAACTCAATATCACTATAAAGGAAATATAAATTAAACCAAATACCATTTTCACCTACAAAAAAAAAACAAAAAAAAACACATTTTATATCAAAACAGTCCTTTTCATACATTATTTCTGACATTATGAAGTTACCATATTTTCAGAGGACAAATGAACTACTTTATCAAAAGCTTTAGGGCTATGCATTCTTTAATCCAATAATCTTTTGTGAACTCATCTGAAGGAAAAAAGGATATAGACATATTAACAGTAAAAAATGAGAAAACGAGTGCATGACAATGAGACTGGCTAAATGAATCTCAGTACATCAATCCAATTGAATATAAGCAGCAACAACTATTTTAAAATGATGTATTAACACATATGTTCAAGATGTTACAAAGTATACAGAATACCCAGGTTATCTAGATGAATACACACTAAAGTGTTAGAATCTCAGGATGTGGTAGGATTGTGAAGTTGTTTTTTTTTGGGCAGGGGGGGGTTTTTTTGGCAAAGCAACCCTTGACCTCAGATTACAAGGACCTTGTTATTTTACAATCCCTTATTTTTTTACGCCTACAGCACCTGGTCTTTCTAGTTGGTCTCCTATCCAAGTACTAAGTTGGCCCAACCCTGCTTAGCTTTCGAGATCAGACAGAATTGGGCTTGTTCAAGGTGGCATGGCCATAGACAGATTGTGAGGTTTTTAAGTACTTTTTTCTTTAGTAACATTATCTTTATAATTTTTCCATTCTGCAAGGATAGCTTAATGCTACCCTGGAATGTAATGATTATGATATACAGCTTGGCCTAAAGACAGCAAAGCTTTTTTATAAACTTAAACAGAAGTTGGAAAAGTTGAGCACTTCCTTCCTCAAGAGCAATTCAGAACTATAGAAAAACAAGGAAATGGGCATCTTCAAAGCACCAAAATTATCACTGAATATTGTGTTTGATAATTTAGGGTCTCTCAGTCATTAAAAGTCACAAAGGATATAGACACATTTCTCTCTATCTTCACAATCAACTGTGCCATTATTAAACATGAATTGTCTGTTTCTGTGAGTGTTGCATCAGACTTAAGGAAACCCCTCCACTCAGCATTTAGAACCCATCAAATAAATCCTTAACTAGAGCAGCTTCTACACATAGTAAAACTCTCCATCAGCAAGCAGCTATTTACTCTCGGAACATTTAAACCACTTGGAAAAAAAAGGTTTCTGAATCTTGTATCGAACAAGCATTAGAAAATACGTAAAAAAAATGCTTCTCACAGCAGGAAAAAAACTAAAATCATTATTTCAAAATTACTTCAGTTAGGCCAATAAATCTGGACTGGGAAATAAAGCATCGAGGGTACAGTCAATATATAAAAATAAGTAAACAAAAACTATACAAAGGGCTTACTATTTCTGATATAAATAAAAACCTATGTGAATGGATATTAACAAAATGGTTAGTGTATAAACCCCTATTCAGGAGAGTATCTTTATACTTAAGAGATTCATGCTTAAGTATTTACAGGGTCTTTGTCTTAAACCAGCATTTGCTATTGTTTACAATCAAGAAGTAATTATAGATTGGTAACATTACCCCAGATATGTGCCTAAGAGCATATATCATTCGAAGTATACATATTTTAGGATGGCATGTAGTTCTAATTACTAGATTAAGTAGCATCACCATTTATCCAGCCTGCCTGTTTGAAATTACTCGATTCTTAATTTGATTTGTAATCTGAGGAGTCATGAGTTCAAAGCTTGCATATAAAATGGTCATTTTAAATACTGTATTTCAATTTTACATAAAATATGGTTACATTATGATCAACTTCCCCTCCCCAAACATCAAAAACACTCTTGCCAGAAAGCCCACAAAAATTTCTAATTCCCAAACAATAAAAAGGAATAAGAGATACAGAGCAGTGCTTCTCTTTAAATGTGCCCATGGTAGTTCTGGGATAGGGAATGAAATTGTTTATGAAGCTTCCAGATGCTGCTGCTGCTGCTGCTGCTGCAACACAAAACATATTCTGAACAGCAAGAGTTAATTGTATTTCCTTACTGTCTTGTAGAAAGCTTCAATTCTCTCAGTAAACTCAAACTAAGTACTGAGTTCCAATAAAGTATACTTTTCAAAGTCTAGCATGGTCCCCCCCCTTGGAGGTATGTGTTTGGAGCATTAGAATTTTTCAGATTTTACAAAGGCATACTGTGCTTTTTGGCTATAACCACCCAATGAGATCTGGGGAAGCATCTAGCTATCAAATCAGATACACTAATATTTCTGCAGTAATACATATGCATAGTCACTACTGATATCAAGTTTTGTCACCAAATGAATCTGCCAAATTAAAAAAACTGTCGTATGTTTAAATTTCTGAATCGTGAATAAAAGATTTTGGACCAGTAAGTCAAAAATATTTATAAGGAAATAATTTTTAATATTTTCTATCACTCAGGCCTAAGCAATTAAAACATGATTATACCCAAAATTTTGAAAATAATAAAATACATATATAGTGGAATCCTAAACTTGACTTTATCACCAATATAAAGATAACTATGCCAAGAGTCTCTCAATTTTTTAAAAAACTTATCTCTAGAAAACAGAACATCCCAAATTCCAGAAAGGATGAAGTGAAAAACATGTAAGCAAAAACAATCATCCCATCTGTTTTACTCTTGCAGAAATAAAACAATTCGGGAATGCCTTAGTCCTCAGAAAAGCATTTTAGGGTCTTAAAATATATTTAGTTTCTTGTGTGATGATGATTGTTTTTTTTCCTAAGTCCTTAAATGTTACAAATACATTGTGAAATACTGAAATATAGATGAAATGGATCAAGGATTTTCTTCAACATAAACGAGGAGGAGGGTGGATGCAGGTATAGAAGAAACAAGATTACCCAAGGACTGGTAAAGCATGGACAAGTTCTCTTTTGTGTTTATTTGGAATTTTTTCACAACAAAATTAAAGACAGCACCAAATATATGCATATACATCTGAGAAAATTTACTTATGAACCTCAAACTATACATAGAAATATACTCAACATGATAGCAATTTTTCATTCAGCAAACCTGTAACTTTATAAACATTCTTATTCAATTTATACTTATCAAATACTAAAGACACTGAAATTCAGTGTCCAAAGCTTAAATATAATATTAGCAAAAAACCCAGATAAATCACAAAACAAGAAATTAGTAGTAGTCACTTAAATGCCAATAAATAAATAAAATGTTATTACTTTTTTGGAGAGCAACCTATATTTAAAAGTTTTTAAAACATGCATGCCCTTGGACAATTCTATTTCTAGGGGTTAATTCTAAACAAATAATGCTATTTACAAAATTTTAGTTGTAGAGCTTCAATTGTTTATGAAACTGTTTACAAAAATGAAAACTGGGGAAAACCCTAAGGGCCCAACAACAGACTTTTGATTAAGTAAAATATCAAATATCATACCAGTATGCAATATAATACTGTGTAGCTATTAAAATTTTTAGATCTTTTACCTACTTAACATCTGATGTTAATGTTATGTTCATGTTAAGTTAAAAAAATATTACTACTTAAATCTATGTGCTTTATGTATGAAAAGCCTGGACGTTCACACCAAACTTATTTTTGACTGGTTAACATATGTCTTTTGGGGAGGGGGGGCTGGTTTGCATTTACTAAATGTTATATGGGCATGCACTGCTTACTTAATTTGGATTCAAGGTAAAAGAGAGTATCTTCTCTTAACCCACAGCAATCATGAGTCATTTGATTAGTCTTTCTTTTTTTATTTCAGTAAATCTACATATTAAACAAAACACGAATGCATAACTCCCATTTAAGAAGCCAACGAACTTCCAAGGACAAAATATATTTCTTTGGGAAGCACACTTTCCTACATCAATTTTAGCCTTAAAGTTTTTAAAGTTAACACCAAAATCACTTAAGTGAAGATGACTATGTTTAAAGGATTAATATAAGGAATGATACTGCACTATGAATGGTTACATAATTTTCAGAATACAGAATTTTAGTAAAAAAGCTAGGGGAAAAATTCCACTTAACATATATTCCACTAAACTATTTGTAAATGTTTTCCAGATTCACCAGAAAAGCCCAAGACTGTTACATCAGTTCTAAAATCAACTCAAAAGCCATAGGTTAATCTAAATGGGAAATAGGAAGACTAAGACTGGTGAAGTGATTCAAATTAGGTAGGAAGAAAAGTCTAATGTCCTGTAATCTGTTAATGGCTACCTTTTAAAGTTGAAATATATCTACAATAAGGAGTTTTAAGTTTTTAATTAGAATCAAAATATGGTGTTGCTCATTATACTGTCTTTAAGCACACAGAGCTAGTTCCCTTCTACCCTAAATTCCTCTCACTTGCCCAGAGGTAATCAATGTTGTTTCACACATATCTTTCCAAATATTTCTCTATGCCTTTACATTAAGTTCTATAACAGGTGAGCCAGTGAAAGAGCTAGAGTATTTAAGGGGGGAAGAACTTGAAGGGCTGTGAGGGAAAATATTACTGAGGTCAAGTAAGAACCTGAATGAACTGGAAACTTAACCTTATGAATGAGGGAATTAAATTCCAAGGAAAGGGTTTGAGGTAGAAACATCTAGTGTTCAAGACACACTAAGGAGGCCAGTGTAGCTGGAGACTATATTAGGGAGGGGCACAACAAATCACATGGGGTGTTCTGTAAATCACAATGAGAATTTTGACTTCAATGCTGAATGGCAGCTATTAGGTGAGTTTTAAACAGAAACTCAACAACACATTTTTCTAGTATTACATTTTAATAGGTTCTATCTAGCTGCCTTACACTGGTGGGGAGGAGGAAAAGAAACAAATCTATTGCAATAATGTACAAAGGACAACTGTGGCTTGAAACTGGAACAAGCCACGGCAGCACGGGTGGTGAATTCTTGTTATATTTTAAAGGAAAAGCTGACGAGATTGTCTGCAAGACCAAAGGTGA